TAGGATGGCGAAGAAGAAAGTGATGTGCTAGAAGGGGAAGGGGGGGATGAGGAGGAAGGGGATGTTATCATATCATCACCCTGCGTCTTTATGTTTCCCTCCCTTATTATCTGCGCCCTCCCTCCACACTCACGGCAAGTCACTCAATCACACGAGCCCCGAGGACAGCGAGGGGACCATGGGAGGGCCTTTTCTTGTTTTTTGTTTTTTTGCACAGCCAGACGAGCGTCTGAAAGCTATACTGATCGCTGTCAGCCAACGAGTGAGTGTGCGCGACTTTGTGAGATAAGCGAGAGAGGAAGCAAGAGGAGAACGAATTGCGGGCTAACAAACAAGCAAGCGGAAAAACCGCGGTGGGCCATATAGACAAGTGTTAGCGAGAAGAGATCACGTGATTGAGGATGCGGAAAAGAAACAAAAAGTGGGGGGCGGGAAATTTTACATTACAAACATTAGCCCAAGTAATAATTGAATGGAAAATACTTTTTACATAGATTTTGGCGGGGAGGGAACAGGAAGTGAAAAATTAATGGGCCAATTACGTTACTAGACTAGCAATATCCAACTTTTCCCTCCCAAAAAGATCAACTTTTGTTCTCCGGGTGTCAAATCACAAAATATACAACTTCAATGTCAAGCGACTACAAACAACCAAAACAAGACAGAGAAAGGGGCTTTTAATGGCAAAATGACAATTGACTTTCAAATTCTAAGCTATTATTATTAATCTTGTGCCTACTGTCTGTTAAGAACGTAAAAGGTTTCTTGAATCCTGTCCCGTGCAGTTTGTTAAAATTCATTAAGAGTGACGTGAATTCCAATGCATAAAAAAGCGTGCTCGGCATCAACACAACCCGCAGTTGTTTGTGCGACACCGTCCTCCAACCCTGCTCTGACCCTCCACTGCCAATCAAATATGAAATCCCACAAAAAGAAATGGCGTCAGCGCGAGCGGGGTGGAGGAAAAAAGGGGCTTATCCCGCAAACTTGCATGTTGTTAAAGATGAGCCCCCCGACGCGACAAATCCGTGAAAAAAGGGAAAGGACGCATGTGTACGACAACAAGATCCGTTTGTTTACATCATAAATCTCGCCTGGCTTTTTCATGGCGAGCGGCGAGTGCTTAGACTTTGGTGTCACTGATGGGGCTGCCGGAAGCATGAAAAGAGTCAATCTGCTTTGGCTCCTCGGCTGAATTAGAACAAGTGAGGAGGGGGTGCGGTGGGGGTTTATTTATTCATTTTTTTTCAAGCACCCAACTCGTGTCGGACTGTCATGTCCGCTGCTGTTTGACGACGACCGAGGTCAAAACGACGAGAGGCCTTCATCACGGATTACAACAATGTGAGTGTGTAATGGTGAAGAAACTACATCTCGGCTTTCAAATTAAAAGGAAAAAAAAAATGACATTCAAAACTTTCCATTTTTTGGTCAAGCCTCCGCAACCTTGACTTGTCCGCGACCGCTAATTAAAAAATGCCCGTGAATATTCATTCATGCCTTAAACAACCCACGACCACAAAATACTGCGCCAACATCTCAAGAACGTGGCTTTGAGACCAAGGACTAATACGCAGAGGCCAGCTCTAAATCGGGTATAATTGAGATGTCATTTTTTAAAACCCACACAACAAAAAAAAGACAAAATGTTAATTCGGTGACATCTCGCAAAATGGCTGCCTTTTAATGCAAAAATCCCACCAAATTGCTGTGACATCCTGCTCTCATATACCGCATTTCCTCAGACATCAGAACAATGAAGACCTACCTCAAATAAACGCCTCCCATTCCCCATTCATGAACAAAAAAAAAGTTGACAAAGCTCAGCAAAGTTGGAAATTGCAAGGACTAGTTGAGCTTTCACATTGCTACATGGCACCCGTTAAGTAGATAATCACATTTCCTCAAATGGCTGTGGCAAATGTGTCATACATACAAGTAAAATAAATAAATGCCTGCTTAAATTAATATCTGTGTTTTCCGAAAGGGGAACAATAATGATAGGTAACGCAGTAAAGTAGCATGCGGTAGCAACTTTCACACTGGGCTTGTATTTCCTCAAAATGTGAGGGCCGAGTGCGTCATCCAACTTTGGAAAAATAAACGCCTTCCTCCAACCAATTTTTTTTTTGTACAAAGCAGTGACAATCAGCACAACAAATGCCATTGTTTACAGGCAGCGTAAAAGGGGGCAAATCATGAGCTCCTTCCCAGAGCAATTACCGCCGTCATGACACACAGTGCGGCACTTTCCCTCGATCTCTTTGTGAGGAACATTCACCTGGGTCCAGTTGATAGTCAAATGATTTCGTACGCGACCATTCGCACACAAGGGTGGCCTGGGAGGGCGTTTGGCGGTATTCATTAAACACAGATTGCGTGTTTGTTGGGCCCATTTGAAAGCTGAAGTTATTTCGAGAAGGTCACGAATGAAACTGATAGAGCGGAAAAAAAGAATACAAAGAAAGTTGCGGAGGGTGAGGGGGGAGCTGGGGGGTCTGCACTAACATTCTATTCACCACATCCGTCTGTCTGGCAAATAAAAGTGCTCCGCATTTCAAGGTTGGGCTTTGGAAAGGCATTAATTACCTCCCTGGGCGGCTTCTTTTTTTTTTTTCCAAATGAAAAGGCACAGTCACAGATCCCACTTGACCGTGACTCAAACGCTAAACAACAGAAATGAGCAAAGAGATAGGTGAGCGTAACTGCGCACAGAATGCGACTGAGGCCTCACTGAAGTGAAGTAGGGACGTAAGTGGGGATAGGGAAGGGTCATTGGCGACGGCCAATGCCGGCCATCTTATAGTCAACTCGCACAATGTGACGAAGACAACATGTGGAGCAATAATGACGGCAGATTGAAAAGAAGTGTCTCGATGAAAAAGTATCAGGCTCACAAAGGGGACTTTGGCAGCGCTGCCGAGCTGGAGGTAATCAATGAAATCGCCCGACTCATTGTGAGCGGGAACATTGCGTCCTCGCTTCTCAGGCTGACGCCACCTTGACCGTGGCCCGTCTTGATTTCCCACTTCTGCTGTGTCCATCAATAAGATTCTGCGCGCTTTTGTGTTGAATAGCTGCCGACGAACCTTCAACTAAGTGGAGAATGCACAAATAGAAAGAGAAACCTCTTCACAATTTGCTTATCAAAAGTACGCGTTTGTGCGCCACTAGCGGGCAGTACAGGATATAGACCTGTGAAACATTCATTCATTCATTCATCTTCCAAACCGCTTTATCCTCACTAACCCCAAAATGTAGCGGGGAAACCTACGATGGGAAAATATGAAGGACGGTACAGCGATAAGGTCACTTAAGCTTCCGCGACTAGATGGCAACAGCCAACTTAAAAACACCCGGCCACAATCAGCTCACGGGGTATTTCGACCAACTTTCTTCATTTTAACCGGAGATCCCAAGAAAGTGAGCTTAGGGAAGAAGCGGATGATGTCCATTCGATTCCAGCTTGAAATTAGAGGGGCAGTGATTCTGTCACAACTCGTCGATTCATTGATGAACCAATGACAATCAATTTAATGGTTCAGAGACACTGAAGCAGAAGGAGTGGAAAAAGAGCATCTTTAGGTGTTTGAAGAGGGTCTGGGTGGAAATGGTTTGCGTTGCGAGCACGGCCACGGAAGAAACCGAATCCTTAAGTCAAGGTAGCACCGTGCAGGAAGTTGTTCTACTTGAACAAATGACCAAATGATCACTTTTCGCCGAGGGTTCGGTTCCGAGTGCGTCAGTAAATGGAGGCAAAGTATCTCCCGCAAGGACATTCGCGTCGCGTTATTTTCACATCTGTTTTACAAAGACGGGAGATCAAGCAGCGCAATAAGAGGATGTCTTTTATGATCAGACATCAAAAAAAGGGACAGTCATTTGCTAAATGGAGCCCAATATTGTCCTTGTTGTGAACCTTCCACAGAGAGGGGGTGGGGGGGTGATTCTTGGAGCAATGGTGCCATCAGCTGGAAACAAAGAGGAAGCGGCAAGCAGGGATGCTTAAAACACCCAAAATTCAAAAGGGTTGCAAGAAATGCTTTAAAAAAACATTTGAACACAAGCTCGAAATGGATTACAATATTTTTTCTTCATTTCATTTAACTTAAACTCCATTGAAATTATTTATTGAATCCGACACAAAAATGTTTTTGTGTGTTTCTGATTAAAGACAAAATCATTCCATAATATGAACAGATTTTAAAAATAATAATAATTCATTGTATTTTATCCCGCGTATATGATCGTCTTGATCGGCATTGTTTATTTTAATTCAGATTTTTGTTTTCCAATGACATACGCATTCTTGTCATTCTTATTATCATTATTCATGTAGAATGTTTTATGGCTGACATCTCATCGCGTTTAGACGTAACCAAAAAAAAAAAAAAACAAGCCCGTTCTTGACACCCGATCATTTTAAAAGCAAGAGGAAAAGAAAAAAAAAGGAAGGAAAAAAAAATGGGAGTGTTGTTCCCAAGCCGCGGCAGACGTGTGCGGACCCCCGCCGTCCCCGCTGGGACATGGCGACAGGCTCCTTTGAACACGGCGGGCTCTGTTTACCCGATAAATTTGATGAGATTAAGCCGACGTTGGGCCTCCTCTTTGCGTGATCAAAGCGGCGGTTGAGAGGCGCCAGTTTTCTCTGCCTCCGTGAGCAAAGTGCATCCGTCGGCGGCCGCTTTTCATGACAGCCTTTACTTCAGCCATTCTCAAAATGTCCTATGACGGCTCCCTCTGGTGGCAGGCCATTGAATCACTGCCTAAGGACTGTTCAGTTGTGTTTCACCTTTTTGCTGTGTGTGTGTGTGTGTGTGTGTGTGTGTGTGTGTGTGTGTGTGTGTGTGTGTGTGTGTGTGTGTGTGTGTGTGTGTGAGGGCGTTATCGACGGGCTGTAACAGTTACGGCGGGAAAATTCACAATTGAGAGGTCTCAGGGTTACCGATTGCATTTCAAGGATTTTGGTACAAAAAAAAAAAAGAATTACAAGTACTTACAAAGTCCTTCTCCAGCTTCTCCACCTCCTGCTTGTAGCTCTTCAGGCGACTGTTGTACATGGCACGGCTCTGGACGGGGATCTCCCGCACCTCCAGGTCCATCTGCTCCAACTGCCAAAACACATTCAAAATGAATACGGTGCTTTCGCGTTGTGGTTAAGAAGATGGATGGGTGAAATGAAATTAAATCTTTTCCTTGAGTTCCTCTTTGAGAGGCAACCTCCAATTTTTTGACATTCCCACTTTATTTTCGTCATTCTTAATTCCCATGGAAAGTTTCCAACTTAGCGAATTTCCAGAATTTTGGTAACCCTTCTCGTATGTCAAGGAAGCACAGAAGACATTTGTGTTCTTGTCAGTACGATTTCATTTACATAAACAAGACAGCTCTGAAAATAGTCAACTTCAGCAAATGACACAAGCGGCGTGCCGTTAATTAAGCGCACTCCCGTGTAGATCGCAAGGCGGCGTCACTCATCTCGCCGCCATCAAAGTTGCAACACAGGAAAACGTCGACTAAAATCCACGGAGATGAGGTGCAAGTGCATTTGATGCATGGCGAAGGCAGCTGTTTTGACTAATCACTGTGACATAACGAGACAATTTGTCTCTTGTCGGGCTTGCTCGCATGACGACTCCTGCTCGGTGAAAACGGCTTGAAATGTGTCACGTGGGTGTCACTTTAAAAAAAAAAAGGGACATTAGCGGGCGAGTAATCACGCAAAAGTGGGGAGCCTCCTCGACGTTTGACGGGGCGCGGTGACACTCCCGCCCAGTTCGTTATTTCCGAAGTGGAAATGAGCCATCAAAGACGTACCAACTCTCTGACTTCTTCAAGCTGTTTGTCGACATTTAGAACCAGCTGAGTCTTCTCCTCTGAAAGGGAAGAAGAAGAGAACACATATTGATCAGGAGGTGCTTTGTGACAACAGCCCCCGCAAAAAGGTGCCAATGGTGGTGGCGGGTGGGGGTGGAGAAGAAGGGAAAAAAAAAAACGCAACACTAGGACACATTTGAAGCTATATTTACACGCTGCCGGTGCGTTTGCCTGACGCCTCATAGTTATTGGCGTGCGCGGGAGAGGCCTTTGTTGCCTCGACGGGGGAAGCGACGTCGTGTCAGCTCGCCTCGCGAGGCGGGAAAGCGGCGCGTCTCCTCTCACCCCGGAGCTGTTCATCTTCAACAATCGCCCCGTTGAAAACACTTTTGGACTGCTTGTGCCTTTCTTTTGGCCAGCGACATCCATTCGAATGATTGCATCATATTGCACTGCCCTAATTGAGGACATTTGTTGTGATGTTTTCCATGGCGACAAACCGTAACAGAGCCAAAAGGCCAACGTGGCCCTTCCTTATTCCAATACCAAATAGAGGCGGACAGTAAGCAATTCCGTTCCAGATTGAATTCCCAGTTCAATTTGATTTCCAATTATATCCCCATTTAATTTCTGGTTTGACTAGATTTCCGATCCAATTAATTTCTGATTCTATTGTTTTAATTTCCGATTTTATTTCAGATTCAATGACCAACTAGATTTCAGATCCAAATCCGTGTCACCCTACACTTGATGTGGAATAGCTCGATATTCCAATTGGATTATCTTTTTATTGCTGACCATAGAGGCATGTGCTCTTAACTGCAATTCATACAAACTGAGAAGATTGGATTTGTTGTACAGCACCATTTTCTTTTACTTGAACCCCTTTGTTTGTTTTTGAATTTATTTGTTCATTTTCATCAATTCATGTTGATTTGCTTGTATCTTTTTTTTAATAATTATCTTCATATTTTTAATTAGTTATTTGGGTAGTTTGGGGTAATTCTCGTCGAGTTCACGTATTGAATCTTATTTTAACTGACTTGACTGACTTCAACGTGTAACTTTTGAAGGATATAATGTTAATAGTATAAACCTTATCAGGTGCGAACAGAAAGGTTAATCATGTGGTCAAAAGCACGATTCATTTTCGAGTCAGAGCAAACGACACAAAAAAATAACAAAGAAAGCGACAGAATTAAGAGTCCAAACTACCTAAAAACGTACATTTCCGTTTTGAAATGACGCTTAATGATTTGAAACACTCAAAACTTGAGGCTCCCCCTGAAATCATTAGCTTTCCTCGTCTACCGACGATGAGCATTGCACAAGCTTACCTCCACCCAGCTTGGGAATTCTGCCGATTTTGTTGGTAATTTCCGCCGTAACGGTTCCAAAGTCTTGCTCGTAGGCTTCGAAGTCTGAAGACATTTTGTCGTGTGCGTTGAAATCAAAGTTATCTCGGAGGTTTCAAACTCACAATAATAAAAACAGAAGTACTCGGGTATCACTTCCTTGTGTGTCTCTAAAATACATCCGCCAAAGAACTGACTCTGCTCCTTCTCCTGTTTTCCTTTTTTTCTTTCTTTCTTTTTTTGTGACACTACACATTATTAATTTGATATCAGTCATTTATTATACATTATTGTCAATGAATTCATAATGTCATGTGATTCTGTTGACGTGTATTGTCAAATATATAATAATTACTTGATACAGTACCATAGGACAGTAACTTCCAAAAATGTCCGGAACAAACTACGACAAGAGAAAACGTTCCTTTCGCGACACAAACGAAGGCAGAAGAAAAAACAAGGAAGTGGCCGGCTCGGTCAATTAAACTGACGGCTTTTTCGTTGTCATTCAAACCCAAATATCAGCACAAAGTGTGATTTCCAAATCTGTAAGTAACATTATCGTCTGGCGTTCGTGTTGACTCTGTCGTACATTCATTTTTGACGCCTGTCTTGAGCTACCCGCTCATGAGCTAGCCGACTAGCAAGTGTCGATAGTCATTCGTGACGTTCAACACAGCGTGAAATGGACATACACTTACACAAAAATCGTTACTCCTTCATGCAAAGTGTTTGGTTTGGTTTTTCTTTGGCTTGTGTGGCCCGTTTAACCAGTAACTTAGTTTAATTTCAAACGCATCCTCTCTGCTTACAAGAGGCTTCTTGAAAGCAATTTTCAACTTGGATATGTCATTATAGACACGGACCAAAGACTAGTTGTGACATTTTGGGGTTTTTTTTTGTCTCTAGATGTCATTCGTACTGTTTCTTCCTTCCAAGATGGGGAGCTGGAGTGTGTCCCAAGCATAGCATCCTCCCTCAAGCACCAGTAGAGGATGCTGCTCACTCTCAGGACGAACAACAAAGGCACACAGGATGTCCTACTAAGACCAGATCATTCCCTTTACTGGGTCACCGCAGGCAGAAGCGTCAAAATATGTGCACCGTCCTCACCGCTGACTTTGCAAGATAACACCAAATAACCCATTGGACCGTTGTGTTTCAAATAGTCCCTGTTGCATTATCATGATTTTGGTGGCGTGGGACAACTTCCACGAGGTGCGCCGGTTGTGCCACTGGGGGCCGGTCATCGCCCTGTCAGTCATTGCCGTGTGCTCCACCGTGGCAGTGCTGGATTCCATCATCTGGTACTGGCCCCTGGACACGGCCGGCGGCAGCATCAATTTCATCATGCTCCTCAATTGGACCGTCCTCATCCTCTACAACTATTTCAATGCAATGTTCGTTGGGCCGGGGTACATCCCTCTCGGGTGGAAGCCAGTGAGTAAGCGCTCTCAGTGGGGATCATAATGCGAGATTAGCAATCCTGCATTTATTTGTGTACCCCTCTGCTCCACACACCTCCCAAACAGGAGAACCAAGACGACACGCAGTATTTGCAGTTTTGCAAAGTTTGCCAAGGGTTCAAGGCCCCAAGGTCGCACCACTGCCGCAAGTGTAACAGGTACAAGTCACACAACAGGCTGCTTGTGTGATATTTCAAATAATTTGCAGAGGAAATAATGCAAATTATTCCAAATGCATTTTTGTCATCATTCTTTTACCCTGAAATGTGATAACTCAGACAGATGAAAATGTACAGGCGCTACAAAGTTTTTGTTCACTCAGATTTTCTGCAAAAGCAAATTTCAGGACATATCAAGTGTGTTAAATCGCCGCAGGTGTGTGATGAAGATGGACCACCACTGCCCATGGATCAACAACTGCTGCGGCCACCAGAATCACGCTTACTTCACCAGCTTCCTGCTGCTGGCCCCGCTCGGCTGCGCCCACGCCGCCGCCATCTTCGTCATGACCATGTACACGCAGCTCTACGAGAGGGTGAGCGAGCGCACCGCCGTAACTCTTCCTAACACCAAACAGTGAAACGTTACTGTGGCCCCCCTTAAAAATGTTAATAATTCCCTATATTGAGAGTTCAATCTGTAAATATATGACAAACTATGATATTTATTTATCTATCTTTTTGTTTATTTATTTATTTTACTCAGTGATGGAGTAACTCCCCACTAATCATGGTGGATTGGGACCGAGTAAGTGACACTGTCTGAAAAGGTTTACAATTCCATATAAATGTCACAAGAGGGCGCCAAAGCACTCATTTTTCTATTAGGCAGGGCTTTGGCACCATCCTGTGGTGCACTAAGGCATTGCACCATCACCACAAATACAGTGAATTGGAGAGTTTTTCACAAAATAGCGTAAGATAGGTTCGAATTATATTTCCATCTATTCAGCAGTCCAGAAATATCAATCACGGTGGGTTTCTCTTCAGATCTCCTTCGGCTGGAGCACAGTGAGGATCGACATGAGCGCCGTTCGTCAGAGCCAGCCCCTCATGCCGTTCAGCGTCGCCGCCTTCGCCGGCACACTCTTCGCTTTGGGCCTGGCGCTGGGTACCACCATCGCCGTCGGCATGCTCTTCGTCATACAGGTACGTTGGAATCGGGGGGCGCATGCGGCCATTTTGTGCTTGCATGGCTTGAGCGCTGCTCAAGTCAGACTTTTCAAATGAATTGTTTAATTGTTCACAACGCCAGGGGTTTCCAACCATTTTGTGGCATTTTTGTTTTGTTGGTGTGCCATGAGATTTTTTTTTTCCGAATGTAAAATGCCTGCCTTGGCTAAGTGGTATGTAAATATGTCATTTATTTATTTTCAGATGAAAGTCATCCTACGAAACAAAACCTCAATCGAGTCCTGGATCGAGGAAAAGGTCAGAATGGTTTTATTATTATTTTTGCTTCTCAGCATCACAGAACAGATTGTGTTCGATTTGAGAGCTTTCCTTCTTATGGGAGTCGGACCACTAAAAAAACGGGCTTCTCTCCCGGCCAAGCAGGCCAAAGACAGAATACAGCACTACCAAACTGGGGAGGAGTTCATCTTTCCGTACGACCTCGGCAGCCGCTGGCTCAACTTGAAGGAAGTCTTCACGTGGTCGGGGGTGCCCAAAGGAGACGGCATCCTGTGGCCCGTCCACCCCGAGTGTCACCAGCACACCTTAACGGTTAGCTCGCGTTCCTTTTCCCTCCCGCCGCGTCCATGTCATGATGAAGTCGGTTTTAATTGTCCTTGCCCCGTTGCCACAGATCGAGCAACTCAAGCAGAAGGCCGACAAACGGGTGAGAAGTGTAAGTACCCGGCGACAATGAGCGGCCAGGCCAGGATCCCTCAGGTGTCGACATTTTTTAGCGGCCTGAAGCACCAATCTGGTCGAATAACCAACATTTGTGGTGTGGCTCACCCAGCAGGTCCAGTACCAGGCGGTAGAGGACTATAATGGCGCTTGCTGCCCCATGACCAAGGGCGTCAAGACCTTTTTCCTGACCCCTTGCACCGAGGAGCCCAGGATACCCCTACAACGGGGGGATACCATCCTGGCCACCCGTGGCACCAAGTGAGTCTCACTTGCTCTTGGCTTTAAGAAGACGTCTATTCTCTACATCCTCGGTCGTACATTATTATTAACATGAGTTTATGTGTGAATTTTTCTGCTGTCAATTGGATATCTCTCAGATGAATAAAGCATCTCTTTCTCTTCTTTAGATGGTGGATGTATGGAGACAAAGTCTTAAACGAGGAGCAAACAAGAGGTAAGAGCAACAACAAAATGAGTCATGTGATAACAGCTCATAGCTGCATAGCCGCTGTCGTTGTGGATGGAACAAGGGTTCATGATTGTGCACATGCTACATGCAAAGGGTTGATGCTGTTATGTTTTGAGTCCTTTGCTGCCATCTTCTGGCATCCATACGCATTTACAAACCTCCTTTAGGCAGTCTTTAATTTGTGGGTTTTCGCGATCGGCGAGGGTCACTGTATTTGAACCGATACCGAAACTCTATTTCATTTCCAGCGGGAGAACGCATCCGCGGATGGTTTCCCCGGCGATGCGTGGAGAAGTGCCATTACGACACCGCCGCCGTCGACAGCGCCGCCGATAAGAAAGCCAACTAATGCGGTTGTCCACTCCCGTATGACACTGTCACTCCGGGTGCTACAGATCTCGCTGCATACATATTCTGGTCAACACACATTTTGATATTGACTTGAATTTGTCAAAACAAAACAAAAAACCTTACTGAGCATCATTCATGTGAGTTGAAGAAGAGTTTGAATTTCAACAAAGCTTTAATGTGACTTGAATTTTGTTCTTTTTTTACGCGTGCCAATGTTGTGCATATTATGCTAATTATGCAACGCCTCTGCTGCCCCAGCCGGCCACCTCCCAGGGCCAGTCATGCAACTCTTTCTACTACTGTAGCCAAATAAGTTGTGCTCGATCTGTTTTCAATTCTGTTTTGTAAAAACAAGCTGTTTGCCTCAAAACGATTTCGAAACATTCTCAGAGACTCTTTGTATTTGTCAATAATTATGTCGTATCCTTCAACTTGCAACCAAGATTGGTCACGTTTTCCTTCCTGCCATTTTCTCTTGCGCTTGTCCTCGTTAGGATGAGGCTGGATCTGATCCCAGCTGACGTGTGAGAAGCAGGCTACACGCAGGACTGGTCACAAGCCACGAGTAGGGCACATTAAGACAAACAACCATTCACATTCAAGTGGATGTAAAAAGTCCACTGTTCAAATGGCAGAATTCTTTGTACAAAATAAATCACTTTAAAAAAAATCCCTCTAATTGCTAAAAGGTATTACAAGAACAGTACAAAAAATGCAAGGAAACATTTTGGGTGAAATAGATTGCACAGACGCTTATCATTCATTTTTAAATATTGATTGAATGAAACAAAATGGGCTGCCGCAAAACGTGCACTTTTTTTCCATCTGATTTGTACTAACGTCCTAAAAATAAATAAATTAAAAAAAAAAAAACATTTCCGTAACGCAAAAAAACTTCACATCCCAAGCATCACTTCGGTTTTTTACCAACCAATCAAGTCATCCTTGGGTGTCACATGACACTCTTCCTTCCTGTACTGCTCTGTTCAAGGGGCTGTTTAGCCGTTTGGGCTAGCTTTTTAAACATTCCCTTTTCTTAAAGTGTGGACCAAAAAAATAAATAACGGGATTAAGCAGGTATGTTGACAGGCAGACCACTTAAAAATCACCCTTTTGTGTATTTTCCGTGAGCGTGTGTCAAGCTGACGAGATTTCTTTGTTCACTGTGCAGTCCGACTGACAGTTGGACCTGAATGATGCCACTCTCTTGCTAGTTTTACTAACGCAATGCTAACGTAGAGTTTCCCAACGATGATTTGTGGATATTAAAAATAGATACGCAATTTTTGGTTGGAGTGTTGCTGTATGCCTAGCAAACAAGCTATAGCCGCCTTTTATATTCTGCTGTAAAAAAAATTAATAACCAAAACTGCGCTAACTTGTGGTGAGCCAATGGAATAATAAGCAGGCACAAACTGCATTCCCAAAGGCAAGCACAATGTCTAATGAGTAACTACATTTGTGACTGCGGTGTTCTTGTTGTGACTCAGTAATGACTTCCTCCCTCCTAAATACACATTTTAAAAAATCAAATACGATTATTTTAACCCGATGCAAATATTTTTTGTATTTCACGCGCTAAAAACAAATATAATTTTGCTAATTAAAAGCAGACAAATTTGAAGATATGTGATTTTTTTTTTTTTTTTTTTTGCTTAGTGTTGCTCATCTCGTCTTACCTCCAATCAGGTTTTTTTGCGGCAGTTACCGTGGCAGTGGCATCCGGGACCATGTCGATGTTCAGCACAGGCATCCTGGTACTGACATCGCCCATCCACACCCTGCGCATCGCCCCCGTGCTTCGCTCGGCTGCGCAGCTGGTGGAGCGCACCCTCTACGTCCACCTGCACCCGGGCCTCAACCTGTGCGGTGGTGGCGGCCAAGCGCGGCCCGTCTTCATCCCGCCGGCCGTCGACCTATGCTCGCTCATCACGCGCCTGTACAGCAATGCGGCCGACGTGTGCTCACACCTCGATGTCCGCGTCCTGCTCACTCACATCCACCCCCCGTCCAACATGGGCGGCCCCTTCCCCACGCCACAGTCCCTGTCGCACTCCCCCGAGGTGCTCCTGACAGACTTCCCTCTGCAGGACCCGGCGCAGTCGCACCAGGTGACGCAGTGTCTGCAGGGCTACGCCGGACGCTGCTACGCGTGCCAGCCCGGCCTGCCGTCGGTGTTGCTCCGCCCGCAGCCGGCCACGCCGCACGAAGAGTCGGAGTCCGGGGCAAAGGAGCCCCAAGGGGATGGTAAACCGTTGGAGACGTATCCTGACGTGGTGGTGGGTGGCACCTTCGACCGCCTTCACGGGGCCCACAAGACCCTGCTAAACGTGTCGTGCTTGCTCGCCACAAGACGCTTCCTCATCGGAGTGTGCGACCAGGGAATGCTGAAAAGTAGGACTGCAACTAACCATTATTTAAATCATGGATGAATCAGTTGGAAAAACAATTTTAGTGGCTCACACTAAAAACATTTGACTATTAGATATTTAAAAAAAAAAGCATGAATGTGTTGAATTCATCTCATTTATTTCTGAACTTTTTACTGGTGGCCTAGTCGGGCCTGCGGAAATAAACTTTGGGGGGGCTGACAGAGTCACGTGGTGGCCCTGGGCCATTGGGCCACTGTTAATATTGGAACCTGATTCAGGTTTCCGACATTCAGATTTCCTCCTTGTCGCCCACAGAAAAGGTCCTGAAGGAGCTAATCCAGCCATACCACCTGCGCGTAGAAAAGCTCCACGAGTTCCTGCGGGACGTCAGGCCCTCGCTACAGGTGGAGATTGTGCCCCTGGACGACCCGCTCGGGGTGTCGGTGGTCGACCCGCTGTTACGTTGCATCGTGGTCAGCGAGGAGACACGCAAGGGGGGCGAGGCCGTCAACAGGACTCGCATTAAGAATGTAAAGTAGCCCCAGGCTTATATAGAAGAGTGACCGTGTTGTGTTTTAACAGGATTTTTTTGCTTTCTGTGTCATTCAGGGCCTTCCCGCTTTGGTTCTTCACGAGATCCAACTGCTCAAGGATGCGCATCACTCCGAAACGGAGGAGGAGAAGATAAGCTCATCCAGCCTGCGCTCCCGCTTGCTGGGAACCCTCCTCATCCCACCCAAAGTAGGTTCACTAATTTAGATATTTTTGTTGTTGTTTTTTTTCCCTAAGAAATTGAAAAAGCTTTTGTCAGTGTTTTCGGTTCAAGTCAGCTGTAGCTTATTGTTGACAACCCTTCGGATAAGGTCGGAAAAAATCATTCCACTGAGCTGTATGTCGGCTCATCCTGTTTTCCGGGGTTAGGACGCGCCCCATCTCCCCCTCCAGCCGTACGTGATCGGCCTGACGGGCGGGAGCGGCAGCGGGAAGAGCGCCGTGGCCAAGCGTCTGGAGGACCTGGGAGCCGTCCGCATCGACTGCGACAAGCTGGGCCACCAAGTCTACGAGCCGGACACTGCCGCCTACCACCGCGTCGTGGAGGAATTCGGATCGGGTATGCTCTTACTTGGCCTCACGCCCATCACTGGAAAATAGTCAACCCTTACTGTAATTGTATTTTGTTTTTTAATCATCCTTAGATATCCTAAATGAAGATAAAAGCATCAACAGGCGCGCCTTAGGGAAGAAGGTGTTTGGAAAACAGGTAACAAAACATATTGAGTCACATGTAGAGGTCCCGGCTGATTTGTTTTCCTTTTTCAGGACAGATTGAAAGCACTAACGGACATCGTGTGGCCTGAAATTGCACTTCTGGTCAAGAACATTATCAGCCAAGCCAGGGAACAAGGTAGAGGTTTAATTTGTGACAATGTCAGAAGTCACAGAGCATACGAACTTGTTTTTTTTTCCCCCCCTTGGTCAGGTAAAGATGTATGCGTGCTCGATGCAGCGGTTCTGCTGGAGGCAGGCTGGACAGACATGGTCCATGAGGTGTGGGTGACCATCATCCCCGAGGAGGAGGTGCGCTACATGTCATGCAACCGGTTGCTGTTACTCGGCCATCACTATGGTCTACCAAAGTACATAGTTTGTAAACGAGAATTTTTTGGGGGGGGGTGGACGTTCTCCAGGCGGTGTCTCGGATAATAGATCGAGACGGCGTGTCACCGGAGGACGCCCAGCGCCGCCTCCAAAGCCAAGGTTCCAACGCGCAGCGGCTGGAGCATGCCAACGTGGTGCTCAGCACGCTGTGGGAGCCCGAGGTCACTCGCAAACAGGTGGGCTATTCCTCGTCCGCAAAGTATTCAAAAATAAAGCTTTCCGTTTGCGCATCTCGTCAGGCTGTGACATAAAATTGTGTTTTGTCCTCTTTCCATTCCAAAAAGGTCTTAAAAGCGTGGAATCTACTTCAGAAGAGGATGCAGCAGAGACGGGCAGCACTATAGGAAAATAAAGCCGGTCAAGCTGGAGGAGAAGAAATGGTACGACCATGAAAGTTGATGTGCCTCTGCAGTTGCCTTTTGACACGAAGATCAACTCAAATGTGTGCCTTTCACACTCAACCCAGCAAAGGCGATCCCCTTTGCTGGACAGTGACAATTGCTTTCGACCCAAAGGGCGGGAGAAAACTTTGTGCCCCTGATTTTTGTAGGCTGAATGTCCGCCTTTGCTGGACAGTGACAATTGCTTTCGACACAAAGGGCGGAAGAAAACTTTGTGCCCCTGATTTTTGTAGGCTGAATGAATCTCGGTTGCTCTGATAACGGCCCACAAAGCGGGAAAATTGCCACGTCATCTTGCATCCCGTGTCAGTGACGCAGGGTCAAACAAAACTGTGCGTACGGGGCGATTGACACCGCTCTGAATTTGTATTATTTTTTTACTACCATAGCGGGGTCAAAACTGTGCGTACGGGGCGATTGACATCGCTCTGAATTTGTATTATTTTTTTACTACCATAGCTTTATCATGCGCGAAATGAGTGTACGGGGGACGGTGGGGTGGTTAGTGTAGAAGATATATTTTTTTTCAAAGACTGCGTGGAGTCAAATATTGGGAAACCTGAAGTAGGGCAACCACAGCTTTCTCTTCACAGCTGACTTTCAACCCATCCAATGGCGTATTTATGCACATCATCTTTTTCAAGCCATTTAAGAACTTTGGTCTTTGACTCGCACCGGTCAATTCTTTTGAGTTAACAAGGGACAGAACGTTTTACTATTTTTTTTTTTGTGCCGTGGAGAATTTCCCCAAATAAAAATCAATGGTCTTTATGTGCTGAAGTCGTTTGAGAAATTTAACGGTCGCTGCGGTGGGCAGCGTTCTGCTACTATCAACAACAAAAAAAAGCAGCTTGGGAATAACTGCCTACTGTAGTGACTGATGCGCCAGTGTAACTTCAACTCACATGATTGTTTTAAATGGAGCTTTTATTTACGAATGCTATTAAAAGATTCACATTGAACATGGACTATGCAAAAAAACAAAAAAAAATTCTCGACTCATGTTGAATAATGCAAACGTTTGACCTTGTAACAGCATGCTTTCTTTCAAAAGGAGGAATACTTGAGTAAGTGCGTCTGCCGGCAATGCGACATTGCCGTGTATTTCCCTTTACGTGTCTACTGTGAGTCGGGCGGAACATGAGGCCGCCCCCAGCTGGTTGCTGGCCCGACACACGTACACGCCCGCATCCGATGCCTCCACGCCGGACAGGACCAGCGAGCAGTGGCCGTCTTCGCCGTATTGCATCTTCACTCGGGACGACTCTGACAGCGGCTTGTCATCCTGGAGCCATTGCACCTCCGGATGAGGGTATCCTAGAGGTAAACGACACAAGGAAACACCCAAACATAGTCAATATAGGCATCATGCATTGTCGATAGTTTTATTCCCATTTTGCCATAAGAACAGTGTCACGATTAGTGACATTGCGATATATCATGATCACATTTCTTACATGATCTCCAATTGCATTGAAACAAAATTCCTGTCTTTTTGGGGGTCAACTTAGTTTTTGCACTGAATTCGTGACTGCGGCAACTTGTGTCATGTTCAGCTCATAACTGACATGATGCGATTTAATTAAAAATGCTCACTCCAATCAAAATATTCCTGCTGATTTTTTTTTTGTTTTTTGTGCATGGTTGTTGTTTTGCCTCCCGGGTTAATGAAGCGCCCGCGGTCGTTCTAACCATCCAGTCGGCACGCCAGACAAGCGGTGGCTCCCACAGGGAGGCTGGCGTCCTTCAGGGGCTCCTGGAAGCGAGGCTCGCCGTGCAGCTGCTTATCCAGTGAGCGGATGGCTTCCTCTGCCTCTTGGCTCCAGCTCGGCTCTGGATCAAAAAGAAAAGTGGGCTTTCGGGATTTTTTGCGGCAGGGGGCGCAAACTTGTAGTGACAATGTGAAAGTGCGAGTCATCTGACCGCCATCCAGATGGAGCTCCAGGACCTGGAGCTCCAACTGCAGTGCATCCACAAACGACTCACTTTTCCCGTTTTGTGATAGCCTCATTCCACAAGGGAGTTCATTTTCCTCTTCAAAATTCCACACGCACCAGAATTATTTTATGTACAGCTTCAAGCTTCCTCTTTGCACCATTCTGAGCATTATGGCCAATTTATTTTTTTAATACTTTTTTTTTTAAATCCTTTTACATTTTAACAATGGGATATGTGTAGAATCTTGAGGAAAATTATTCCATTTTGAAATAAGACTAACGTTCCAAAATGTGAGTGTGAAAACAAAACACACTGCATAGCTTTGTTTGTGTGTTAACCAATCTTACCGTCTGAGGAGCTGCCAGGAGAGTCTGGCTTGTTTGAAAGGTTGGCCATGCGCTGCAGGGCCAGAACAGCCTTGCCAGTTTTCTGCAAGTTTGAGAAGACAGCGTGACTACAGAGCACTGCGCTCAAACACACTTGGTATAAAAGGGCATCCACTCCTCAAACACCCCAACAACCATTTTTTTTTCCAATTTAGGGCACGCAAGTCTACTCCAGCAGATGGCAATGTTGTCAAAAAAAACTAATAGAACACAATTATCTTTACTTGCATATTGTGGGTGGTTTTATGATATAATCGTTGCTCAGTGGTGATGTATGCTGTGTTTTTTTCCCCCCCTCGTTACCTTCCACTTGCACTTGGCCAGGAAGCGTCTCATCTTCTCCTTCCTGAGGGACTTGGTGGGTCGGTTGAGAGCGGTGAAGGAGGCCATCCACGGGTGGACCAGGGCCTCGATGCATGACATCCTACTCCTGGATGAGGTGAAGCAAAAACACCTCACAGGTAAAAACTCAAATCTGTGTGGGTGGGAGGGCTGTATCCAGAGTTGACACCCTGCGTCCTCGAGCTTCCTACCAACCTTCGGTCTTTCTTCAGAAGGCCGCTGATGAAGTCTTTGGCTTGGTCTGAAATGTCCTCGAAGCTCTCCGGGTCGAACTTGTAGTGAGCTGCGGTGACGAGTGTGAAGGTCTCGGCCTCGCTACCTCCCTGGAAGGGCGACTCTCCGCTTAGCCTGTGGGGTGGGGAAGAGGGAGGGAGTTGATGCCAGCGACCAATTTTAAAAACGTTATCACTTTGGCACCTTCTTGTGGCCAAGGAACTATGTTTTAGTGACAGGAGGCGCTTCATTTAATCAGGCCACAGCCTTGTTCAATAGAAAAAGTACCAACTGGTGTTTTTACAGACGAGAGAGCGGCGATATGTGTCCTCACACTTCCAAGAACAAATCATCTATAAGCTATTCATTTTTATGGGTAATGTAAGATGTGTTTTAAAATGATTTACAAGTGTTTGGAGATCATAAATCAGGGTGTCTTTGCGGTTTAAACTATTAATATAGGCTGTTGAAACAAAGACTTTGCGAGGGGTGGGGAGGGTCATCTATCATTCCAGGCTTGGTCGCCAACCCCCACGGGGGGGTTCGATGTTGCAAGAACTTTAAGAAGGGGGCAACTATGAAGGTGAAGATCCAAATTTGGCCTGTTGAGCCTTGGCGGTGGTCTGCAGCCCGACTCTAACTCATGTCCTTGGTGTACTACAGGGGTTAGCGGATTGTATTCTGCCATTTAAGCCAAGATGGCAATGCGTTGCCTTTGCCACAGTGTTATTTATAGACAAAAAACTGGGGGATGAGAATTGAATTCCCTCTAGAATTTCAAACAGCATTGCCAGCAGGGTCGTTTAGAAAAAAAAAAAGTAGCTGCATGTGATTTATTTATTTACAATATGAAGCAGATGACTCCGATGCTCCACATGTCCGTCTCCACTCCCACGGCCTCATAGTTGATCACCTCGGGGGCCACAAACTCTGGCGTTCCATGCATCACCAGCAGGGGCTTCCCCTCTTCTAAAAAGCGCACATCAACAGGTCTTGTAAAGAGTCCAAGTCCTGGCGGTCCTCCGCTTTGGCCGTTTCCTCACCCAGTTTACTAGCCAGGCCGAAGTCTATGATCTTGATGCACGTTCCGGTGTGGTCGGTGCAGACGATGTTTTCGGGCTTGAGGTCCAAGTGGACGATGTCCTGCTTGTGGACGTACATCATGCCTTCCAGGATCTGCCGCATGTAGCCGGCGCTGGTGGGCTCCGTGTGCTCAAAGTTGTCATCCACGATGCGCTCGAAAAGCTCACCACCCGCGATGCTACGGCGGATGGACGAAAAGACCAAGTTGCGGTCCCGCTGGAAGTCCCCGGTCGCGCCTCTCAGTTACTTACTACTCCATGACCATCACCGTCTCAGTTGGGGCCTCGTAGGCCGCCAGACACTGGACCAGTTTGGGGTGGTGGAGGCAGTTCATCAGCTCGATCTCCTGCCGGGCGGCCGAGCGTTCCTTGGAGCTCTTGACCCGATAGAACTTGCCCGCATACACCTCGCCCGACTCTTTGTGGGACAGACGGAACACCTCCCCAAACTTCCCCCTGCACAGGAGAATAGTTAAGAGCATTTGAACCCAATCGGAGATGCAAATCTCGCAGTACATCCATGAGCACCACATTCTGATACATTCAGTGCTGTATCGCGATATCATAAGATCATCATCGATTGTGAATGGTTTTCTTGTATCCATTATTGCCATTGCGGTCTAAAATGATGTCTCATGGATGCTTTCAGATTCCACACCATGTTTCACAGAGGCTTCGATGGTGCAGGCAAACGTACATTCCCAGCTTCTCGTGGACGTTGTAGTGGTCCTGAAGCTCCCGTTTGGTATCAATCACCACTTTCACAAAAGGTCGCATGTCGTCCTTCTTTTCTTCTAAAACAAACAAATGAAGCGGTACTTCAGCAAGTGGTCAATTTGGAACAGGTTAGTGGAGAAAGTGTCAAACGGCCAAACTCACTAGTTGTGGCCATCGTGACGGTGTCAGACTCCTGACTTGGCTCGCTGACGCCCTCGGCGTTGTAGGCCCGTACTCGGAAGCGATACTTCCCGTAGGGCTCCAGGCCCGCGCTGACCTGGGTTGAGGTGTTCTTACACCGTTCGGCTATTTCCGTCCAGTCTCCAGATGCGTCGGCACCCTGCCGCCGGACCTCCACGATGTAACCCAACACGGCCGTACCGCCATCGAAGCTGGGACCCGTCCAGGAGAGGACGAGGGACTCGACCGACAGCTGGGAGATCACCGGGTGAGACGCGGGCGGGTCGGGGCGATCTTTTGCAAAGGTTCGGGAATAAGTACTTGGGTATCAAGTGGTTATTTCAAAGCTGCATACTCACGTATGACGCTGAGGGAGACCGTGTGTTCAGAGGAGCCGCTTCGGTTCCGAGCGATGAGCGTGTAAGAACCCGTGTCGTCCGGGTGGGCTTCGGAAATCACCAGGCTGCTGTGCGCGTCGTCGCTGCTGATGGACATCCTGGGGTCCGACAGAACCGCCTGTAGAAAAGAAGAAAATTCTGTACTGTAGTTAGCAGCATTGGTGCTGCGTCAAAAGATTTTTTTTTTTTTTTTTTACTCCCAGTACATCTACTTGCACTGTATCGCGATATTGTAACATGATGATCTATTGAGGGTGGTTTTGTTGCAATCTATCCATTGTCATATCACGATACAGCTCAAGTATCAAAAATGCTTTCCTTCTAATATTTGGGTCTCCAGTGACTCCCGCTATATGGTGTAAAAACTGCTCGACCGATCAATGTCGGAATCAATAGTTTGCTGCCAATGTATCGCTTTGCTTTATCACGATATCACATCACAATGCGTCAAAGATGTTTTCATTCCTTTGAATCCAACCGTAGTCTAGTATTTTGTGATATCATCTATGTATTGATTAACACAGTATCACACTACTGTATCATCATTGCGCTTAGATTTTTGTCTTGCGTTGTATCAATTTATGCCAGATTGGCACATCTCAGGATCATGCGTTTCCTCCAACACACGCATTAGCGTGATTTGTGATGTCGCCACATCATTACGCATCGTGGCCACTTTTCTTACAGTCACTCCGTCGGTGTTGTAGAGCGATATCGCTGTATCATGATGTATCACACCTCCGCACCCCCCAATATATCCATCGCGCTCAAAAGATCATGCCAAGCGAAACGATCCTGAGACCTTTTCTCTGTTGAATATCCAGCAGCAGGCCACGGGGACACAGGCGGAGCGGAAATCGCAGTGTAAGCGGGCCTGCTCGCCCGCCCGAACCGCCACGTGCTCCGGCGGGTTGAGAAAGTCGACAGGCGAGCCTTGAAAAGACAGAAAACAAAGCACCAACTCAGATCAAAGGTAATTATTCGCCGTGTTCCTGTCAGGCCTTTTGTTTGGGGCTCCAACTGCTCGCTACCTGTGCAAACTGAAGAAGAGGGCGAGGTGACAAGGGCGTGACGCGATTGGCAGACTGAAATAAGATGGGACCAATCGTGAGTGAGCAGGCATTGATTTGCTTTTGGCGCCAGCTGGCACTAACCAGCCGTTGTTGCTGGCAGGTGAGCTCAAGACTTGAGTGATTGAGATGTCATGTGATCACAAAACCCCGATGTGGCGTTCCTCCAATGCTTCCACTGGTGAACGTACCCGCTTCGGCTTCCGTCCTGTGACCGCTCTCTTGCGCGGACGCTTGCGTGTTGTCTGCCGCCAGCTCCATCGCGTCTGAACTGCAGCTTGTGTTTTTCTCTGTTTGAGTGCACACACAACGCAGTGGCGGGCCTTTACTCAAAGACAGCACCTTGACCTTGATTATGTCCCTAAAAAAAAAAGAAAAAAACATGCCTGTGACGTGACTTCCAGATGAACTCTTGCAGCTCAGTGTTGTGTCATCTCTGGTGACGCCATTTATGAAATTTGATGGACTCTGATGAACCTTCTCACCTAACAAAAAAAAAAAAAAGGAAAAAATAATTAGCACTTGACTGATTTCAAAGCCACAACCCCCAAGCCTTCGCTGGAGTATTCATTTGAAACCCTAATGCAGGTTTTGGACCTGAATTTGAAGCCATATCCCTAGTTTGAATTCCTAAAAGAGTGTTGAAACCCCAATCCTTTTTGAAGGCCAAACTTGAAACTCTTAATTCATGCTTGAAACATTAGTTGGAGAGTCTAACCCAAGGCAAACACTCCAATATAAAACTCAACCACATGCTTGAAACCTTAATTTAAAACCCGAAACCTTTTAAAAGCCCTAATTTGCAAGGCTTGCATGTATTCATTCTCCTACCATTTTCTCATTCGCTACACATTCCAAGCTCCGGCTAACTTCACGTGGCGTCTTTATTACTATTTTTGAACATTTTTCACATCCAGTAGAATGAAGCACAAATTGATTCGAGGTAAGGCGTCTACTTCTTCATGTGGACGACTGATACATCTGGACATGTTAAATATTTACCTTCACCCAGCCATCTCTTTTTTTTTTTTTTTTGCTTGTATATTTGTTTTTGAGTACAACACTCGGAGGAAATGAAACATCAATTCCCGGTAGGGTGTTCATTTTTTTCAATGGTCGACTCACACACCCGGTGATTAATGGCTTCTACTTTATAAAATGTTGCAGCATGAGAGCAAAGTATCGCCATCTCTTTGTTGCATGTATTTTTTTTAGCACATATCAGACAAAATGACGGATCCATCAGTGGTATGACATTTATTTCTCTCAGCGGACATCCAACGCATCCGGTGAATAACAGAAGCATGGCGTCTGTTTTAAGAAATAGGGTAGTAGCAAAATTGTCAAGAAGCTAAAGTCGCTCTAACTCTTTGATGTATATACAGTATTTGTCACTTGGACGAAACGACTCATCAATTAGCGGTATGGCGTTTATTTCTCGCAGTAGACGACAAACATGTCCGGTGATTAACTGAGGCATGGTGTCTATTTTCGGAAAAATGTTAGTAGCATGAGTGCAAAGTAACTCTACCTCTTTGTTACATGTGTTTGTCAGCACGTACCACTTAGACGAAATGAAACGTCAGTCGGCAGTAAGGCGTTTATTTCTTCAAACGGGACGGCAAGGATGTCTGCGCGTTTCAAGTGGCGGCGTGCAAACCTCCAAAAGTCATTAATGTCGCTCGCCCCTGGTAACGCTCTGCAATGTTCTCATGCAAAAGGCTGCGAGTTAAAAAAAGGTCAAGCGTGAAGCGCCCGCAGCCTCGCAAAGGGGGTGTTAAACGCTTCTGTACAGAAGCCAAAAAGTTTCACGGGAGATGCGCTCAAGTTACAAACGGTCGTAAATAAGAAATGGGCAAAATGGAAGTCGAGGATTTTTACCTGTTGGACGTGAGAACCCCGCAGCGTTTCTCATCGCCGTCGCGTCGGCGAGCGGGTCGGCTTTGCTGCGTGTGCGCCCCCGCAGCAGCAGGCGCACTGTGGACACATAAGTCTTTGGCTCGCCACCATCCTCGTCCATCCTTGCGTTTTAAAATAGCAGCTGACTTTCACTTTGAGTGATTCATCCCACGGGCCTCCTCCTGTGCAAAAAAAAAAAAAAAAAACGCCTCTTATGTCGGGAGGAGATTGCGTGCCGTGACCCCGAGGGACCCCCACTCCCCCTTCCCCTCCTCGTCGCACCCCCGAGGGACGCAGGAAACTCCTTGTTTTGCCGCCCTTGGTTTCTCGAAATCAGACAGTCACATGTGATGGTAAACAAAAGAAAAGCACTTCAGTAGGAAATGTGTGGGAGAGACAAGAGAGCAGTGATGACGAGTACAGCGAGGAAAAAAAACAAAGTGGAGAAGCGACCAGAGTGGCCCCGGGAATCAGGAAAAGCGAGTAGGGCGGCAATGCCTTGTAAATGTAGACGTCTTCACCTCCATTCGTATGCTTCGGTGCTGCTCCTCTATGGAGGGTGCGGCCCGCCGAGCTGACGCTCTTGTGGCTTTTTGTTCAGTGACTGTTGTTGCCTTGACAATGGCTGACTTCACTTAGATAACCTCTGAATAAGAGCCCGATGCGCTATTATCTCTGTCGCTTATTTTCTGGTCGGCATACAACAGTCAATAAAAAAACGAAACTGCATCAGGTGTTTATTTCTATGAAACGCCGATGTCGGTAATTTGTAAGAATGCGATAGTAGCTCACGTGTGATTCTCTTTGTTGCTGTTTTCCAGTCAGCATGGGACACGTGGGATGGCTGTCAATTCGGGGTAAGGCATTTATTTCTTTAATTTGATGACGTCTATTTGAGGAAATGTGACTACATGACAAAAATTCAACAACCCATTTTCTTTGTGTAACACAAACACAAGCATGTAGCAATCTCGTTCTGAAGTCATTTGAGTCTGTGGTGGAGAATGTGTGCGTTCTGCTCGCACGGGAGCTGCTCTGTGTCATTTTTAACCATATGGGGGAGGGGGAAGGTGCTGGGGGTCACGTTATTTACTACCAGCTGGTCCCCTGGTGATCAAAGCGTGCAAACGCACCGTCCGCTTGCGTCAAAATACCCTAAGCTGTCAACGTAGTTGCTTTTTGATCATTGTGGACCTCACGGTGGGCTTTAAAACCTCAAACGGGATCTTTGAAAAGAAGCAGATGCTCTTTTCTTCGCCAAATATGGAAGTCTCCCTCACAACATGAACATTCGTCCTGATATTTCTGAGGTCTCCATCCGGCCCATTCGCTGCCGTGCCTCATTTCCAGGCTATCGCCACTATCATTCCAGCGAGTTCTGAGGAATTGTAAACAGGAAAAGCAAACGCGAGGCACAAACAAAGTGGAGGCTGGCACTGGTTGGTCTTCCTGTTGCCAGGAAGATCAGAAGAGGCGCCGCGTTAGTAGTTTCGCATCCTGTTCCCACAAGAAGGCCAAATGTGGCTGCTCGATTGGGACTGACATCATCTGGATGCGGCTTAAAAAGAAGGGTGAAATGAGGCCCTCCTGTGGCTGAACGCTTCACCCCGCAGCAATTGTTGCCTTGTAACGAAGGCTATGGGACGCCGTTTCAGAGCGCAAGTCGAATGACTGTCCGACTAGTCATTTTTTTTCCACTACCTGTGCCACTTCTGGCATCTTCGTCTTCATTTGAAAACATACTAATGTGTGTCAACTAGTTCCATTAGCCCGTCTATGGCGTTTTGCGTGTTATGCAATTTGGAAGAGCTGCAGCGCCACAACAGTAAATCACAATTTGAAAGAAGTATTTTGACATTATGTGATTAATATATGGCAGATAGAAACACACTTTTGACATTTGACTCAAGACATTTGAGATGCAACAGGTGGTGTCCACGATAAAACCTTATCATGGCTCCAGGTGATGGAGACCAGAATTAATTAGATTTCTTTTTTTTTTTTTTTTTAAGGAGCAGAAAATAACCTTTTTTGATCTGTATTTGCTGCCAGTTACTAACAACCTTTTTCAATTTAAAATATATATATTATTCAAAGGTTGTGTTTGGACATCACTTGGGGGGTTGATTACATCCGAATATATGACTTGGTTTGCACGGCTGTCTCCGCATGAGGAATCTCGGTTTTGGGCTTGCTGTGTGAAGTTTCTGCAATGGTTTTCTCCAGAAAAATATGCAAATTAGGTTCTATTAATTTTAAGGGTTTTGCATATTTTGGTGCTCGTTTTAAATAACCGTACTTGGTTTCAAGATATTGACAAAATACATGAGAAAGTCAGTTAATGTGTTCAAGAAATTGACAATTTTAGTCCATCGTTTTCATCCTTTTACATCTTTTTCTGTCTGGAAATTCTGACGAATGAATGGAGGTTTCCGCGCCTTTTGAGTCATGGACTTCATTTCCCAGAGGACGTCACTGAGTACCGTAAATTGTTTGGAATTGACGTAAAATCAGCCCGTAAAGTAAGCGTGGGTGCAAATGCAGCAACAACTCTGAAAATCGAATGGGTTAAGCAATTTAAGAAAAAAATCCCGCTCATCAACTATCGTGACGTTAAAAGTGAAGGTAAACGGTTGTTTTATTGCAATATTAGCTATTACAGGCGTAAAAAGTTGAACCGTAATGTTAACGATAATTTGTTTTTCATAGTTGGTACGTAGCCCAGCACTGCTCCCACCATCATTATCCTGAAGCTATTGGAACCTTTTCATTTTGGTAACACATTGTTTTCTGTCCTTTTGAAGCAAAATGTATGAAAACTTAATCCAGAGGATAAAGCAGCTGGAGGGGGAAGTGGACAAGCTCAAGTCCCAGCTGAATGGAAACCACATGGAGAGCAGTCCGTCTCCCAACAACCAGAAGATCAATGTTAAAAAAGGAAAGAAAGCAAGCAAGGAGCGGCCGTTTGACTTCTCTGCACACCCTCGCCGCCACGTTGCCCTACGTCTGGCCTACCTGGGATGGGCCTACCAGGGCTTCGCCGTCCAGGAGAACACGGACAACACAGTTGAGGCCAGGCTCTTCGAAGCCCTTCTCAAGACGCGCCTCATCCAGGACCGACAGAGTTGGAACTATCACCGGTGCGGACGCACAGACAAAGGCGTCAGCGCCTTTGCCCAGGTGAGTTCACCACTTTTCTAAGTTTGGGGATTTTCACATTCCTTCCTTTGTCCTCTCCTCTCTCTTGGACAGGTGATAACAATCGACCTACGCTCCACACAGCATTCCGGGTTGGGCGTCTCGCTTCCTGAAAACGCCAAAAAAGATGCCCTCGCCGCTTCCGAGCTTCCCTACGTGAAGATGCTGAACAGAGTACTGCCTCAGGACATTCGGATTTTAGACTGGGCCCCTGTCGCTGAGGGCTTCAGCGCACGTTTCGATTGCCGGTCCCGCACGTACCACTACTATTTTCCACGAGGCTCTTTGGATGTGGCAGCAATGGCGAACGCTGCGAAAAGGTGGGACAAAAACACTGTCAAGCAGATGGAACTACTTGGCAAAATGGCCAACTGAAGTTAGAGTCCAATCGACTTTCTTTAATATATATAATGCATCTTGAGTACAATTAATTTTTACTTCCTCACCATCAGATATGAAGGCACCCACGACTTCCGTAACCTGTGCAAGATGGACGTGGGTAACGGCGTCCTGCAGTTTGAGAGGACCATCCTGTCAGCAAAGGTCAAGCCGGCAGAACCCCTGCGTGCAGACAGCACAGACCCACACGACTTGTTCGTATTTGAGATTCAAGGACTCGCCTTCCTCTACCACCAGGTATCCCTCTTATAGTGATGGTCTCTCCTTAAGTAGTGTTGAAATGTGAATTGAAGCATTGCCCCTAAACGCCGTTGCCGTGACGCTGCAGGTTCGCTGCATGATGGCCGTGCTGCTTCTGATTGGACAGAAGTTGGAAGCGCCAGAAATTATCCAGAGCCTCCTTGATGTTCACAACAACCCCAGGAAGCCACAATACAGGTGACGTCACCACATGCTATTGATCAATCTATCCATCCGTTTGTCTCCTGGCTTGTATTTCAGAAAATGAATGCCTTTTTTCCTCCCCCACTTCCCATCCAGCATGGCGGTGGACTACCCGCTTGTCCTGTATGACTGCCACTTTGACGGCCTGAGCTGGAAGCAGGAGACCGAGGAGCTTAGTCTCGCCCTATCTTCTCTTCAGCAACAATGGACGCAGAGCGCGGTCAAGGCTCAAGTCCTGCGCGACATGATTCGGGGCTTGGAGCCCATGAGTAAGAATTCGCAAAGATGCATATGAATGGATAGGAGTAACTGTACGTATGGTTAAAGCTGCTCGCCCAATCACAGGCGGGGTGTCCTCCAGCCTATGCTTGCTGGTGGAAGGCAGCCGCCAAAGGAAATACCGGCCCTTGCTGGAGCGCCCACTCTGTGAAAGTCTTGAGTCACGCATCGAGCACTTTGTGAAGAGAGGCCGGCTGGAGTTGGAGGAGGGTGAGGGCAGCGGAGAAACTGTTCACAAAGGGAAGCGATCCAAATATTCTCAAAATGCACCTGTTGTGTCTGAGGTGACTTACTTAAGTCTAGAATAGAAAGGTTTTTCCAAAGGTTTGTGTTGAGGTTTTATTATTACTATTTTATTTTTATTTCTTTTAGGTGGAGGGGGCCGGTGTTCCGTGAAATAAACACACCTCTCAATCAATTCAGGCTGCATCTCATATGTAAGCACGGTAATGGTCCCACTGAAGAAAAAAAATTAAATAAAATGGCAACTTGTTATTGGAGAGACACTCTACAAGCACCACAAATATTCAGTGAGAGATAAATTTCCCATTGACGGTAATGAGTATAATAAATGAACAATAAAGAGAGAGATTCATATATATATATATATATATACAGAGAGAGAGAGAGAAAGAACTCCCCTCTTGCTCTCTCTCTCTCTCTCTCTCTCTCTCTCTCTCTCTCTCTCTCTCTCTCTCTCTCTCCATATA